TGCAGGTCTGGAGTAACAGCATTCTGCAGGAAGCCCAGCCAGCCTCACACGGATTGCTGAGAGCCGCCCAGCAGAAGGCTGAGAGCCCGCAGGTCTGCACAGTAAGGAGCTCAGAAGACGCCCGCAAAGAATATTCTCTCCAGATTTGCTAGCCTGCTCATCAATTGGTGAGTACATTCTGTTATTTCACATATATACACCAGAGCGGGTGGCAAGACAAGAGCTTCCATAAAACTCGAATGAAACTTCACACTGAGACCTCATAAACGTGCACGGTGCTCCTTGTGGGGACCAGTGTGGGTCTGCCCAGCCCTGTGGGGCTGGCTATCAGGAGGACGTACAGGGCCTGCGTTGGTCTGACACAGGTCCGGCTCACGGGGCATCCATAATAGGTGGGGAACGAAGCCTTCCGATGACTAATTTAGAATCGGTTCTGACTTTGCCCCCAATGTCCTATGGACTGGGTCAGGGCTCTTAGGAGGCGTGCTGATGGGCAAGGCTGTGTCTCAAAGAAACCTTCAAGGAAGAGATGCTCCTCGGCTTGGCTGTTTTAACCTAGAGGCTCTGCATCCTCAGCATCCGGCTCGGTCTGCCTGGCCTGCTGCATCTCCATCCCGAGAGCTGCATAGTGGCAAAGATGCTCAGCCAAGCTGTGCACCAAAAACCAAGCCCGCCCGGGGCTGCATGCTGAGCAGTCTAGGAATGGAAAGCAGGGCTCTAGACAGATCTCTGTCTTCCGCTCCCAGCTCGGAGCCTCCAAAACCAAATAATCCAACCTGACTGCCCTGCTCTTGGAATGTCCATGCCCCCCTCCCGCACTTCCATTGCTCCTTGCCTACTCCCAGACACCACGAACATCACCCATTGTCACAGAGGGGCACAGTGCCCATTCAGAGCGACCACAGGACAACGGCCGTCACAATCTAAGAAGCCCTTTATGCTTAAGAGGCCAGGAGGACTGAGTGGGCAACAAGAGAAAAATGACAATGAACTTCATCAACCATTTGCTCAGCACTTGATGTGAGCCAGCCTCCCTTCAACCTCATAACAGTCCTCTAAAGTGGGGGCTATTGGGACCCCCATTGTGCAGACTTGGGTGGGGGAGATGGGAGAAATATCCTCTTCACCAGATCAAGGTGCCAGTTTAACTTCTCTTGTCTCTTGCAGTGAGCGGGTCTCTAAATTTCCGCTCAGGGCTTTATTCCACCCAACACAAACCAGTGCCACTTCCAAGAAAAATGGTATGCCTTTCAGGATGCTTCTCACCCCAGCAACCAACAGATGCCCTTGAAGGTACAAAATGGCATATAAATCAGCCATGAACTAATCCCAGGAGTTTCTCCCGCCTATGAATTGCTTTGCACGACTTCTGGATCCACAACACCTGGACCTTTGGCTCCCTTATTCATTCGGTTGTCAAAGAATTTCAGAGAACCTACTGTATGCCAGGTGTGAGGGCAGTTAGCTGTCCCTGCCCACAACGAACCCGAAGTCCAGAGGGCAAAATAAACAAGATAAAAATTGCAATACAACTTAAAAACAGTATGCCTTTAGAATACAGATTCCAAGAGAATGGGAATTTTGTCTACTCTGTGCTGTAATGTTTCTTGAACTCCAGCAGTGCCTGGCACAGAGCATTCAATAAATATTTACTGAATGAATGAAGAAATGGATGAACATATGGGTGAGTGCACGCCATAATGCATGTAACCCAGCAGTGATGATAGCATTTGTCCAAAGATGCCTATAGCCGCTCTTGATTCAGCATTTCCTAGTGCGGAACGCAGTCCAAGGCACATGGGGGCCCAGCCTTGCAGGGCCAGGGAATGCTTCCCAAAGGACGGAGTGAAATGAAGACACTGAAAGTGGAAAATTCAAAGCAGAAGGAACCTGTGCAGAGAATGGAGAAGCACACCCAGGAGGAGATGAAGCTCTTCCCAGTTAAAGGCAATGGGTTTTATAAACTCTCTTCACAGCCACTGAATGCCCTCTCTACTCAGATGTGAGCACTTAGGGGGAAAATACTACTAACTCCATGGTGGACACTGAAGCACAGATACTCCTATGCTGTTCAAGTGACTGGAGCCAGTCCCGAGCAGCTCTATATTCAGAACTCCAGAACCTACAACTTTCGGAAGGCAAGTGGGTAAAGAGCTATGGGGAGGAGCGACCCCCACACCTATTGCCTGTCTTCCCTCAAAGACAGGAAAGCCATCACTTTCCAGACACCCAAGGACAAGAATCCAGTGGCTTACCAAAGCAACTCCATAAAGCAACCCAAACATTCAATCCAACGGCTTCTCCGGATTCAAGAAATTAAAAAGCAATGCTAACCTCCTGCCTCACTGCAGTCTCAGGAAGTCAAAGTAAATGCTGTCCCTTTAATTTACCCTTTTATTTACTGTGGACGCTACAGTGAACAGTTTTAATCTTTTCAATAAGCATGAATTGAGCATCAACTGTCTACAAGGCATTGGGCTATAGACACCATACAATGGCGGTCAATACATTCTATTGGAGGCAGACAAGAAAACAAAAGATGAAAGCTAGGAGCATTTCAGAGCGAGGGGCATGGTGACAACCTTGAACAGGATGAGAGGTTAGACAGTGAATGGTGGAGGGTGGCCTCTCGAAGGCCTCTGAGCTAAGACCTGAATGATGAGGAACAGGCATATGGGCAGCGCAAGGGGGAAAACAGCAAGAACAAAGCCCCCAGAAGGAAATGAGCTTGGGGTGTTTGGGGCAAGGAAGGCCGCTGCGGGTGGGACAGAATGCGTATGGAAAGACAAGGAGGAGTCAAGTCGGTAAGGTCTGATAGGCCCCCGGAAAGATCTGGGACGCTAAGTGCAAGGAGATGCCACTGGAAACTCTTAAGCAGCAAAGAAACATGAACTGATTTTTGCTTTAAAAAGTTCACTCTAAAGGTCATCAAAACGGATACGTATTAGCGAGACACAGGGGTGGACTGGCCCTCACTTTCCCTGGCGCGTAACACAACAGATACCATCGGATAAAGACAGCATTTATCCGCCAGCATCCACCAGAGTCCCGACAAACAAGTCGAAAGTACCACTCTCTTGGTGACCAGTTGCTTGGACTTCCAAGAACGTGCTTTCAAATAAGCTCACTTATTCTGAAGCCCAGCGTCCCCTCTTCCTGGGTCATTCCCTCTGTGGAGGAGGGTTTAAAAAAAAAAAAAGGTTCTATGCCCAAGGCTCATAAATCTCACCACTTTCGAACACACCCTGGAAAGAGAAAGAAGAGTTGGTTGGTTTCCGGCGCGCCAGGGAGAAAGCCTGAACACCTTGCTCACATTTCCATTCAAGCACTGAACTGAAACCCCAAGACCAAGCGGGACCAGCAATCCCAGTTTATGGGGGGGGGGGGGGCGCTCCTGATCGCTTTAGAAAGAAATCAAGATATTCAAGACAGGTCAGCTCGACGGTCATCTGCTAAACGACCAGGATGGGAAAACACTATTTCAGTGTCCAACATATCAGAAAAGCAGCCCACGTGAGGATCTATCTGTGGCCATACCATGCCAGAAATCTGGGCTAATCTGACTCTGCTATTCATAAATTCTCCCTCATGTGAAAGCCCATGTGTTTGGGAAAGGGAAATGAATCCAAGTCAATTTTAGACATTGTTACTTGGAAACCATCTGGAGTCCCTGGAAGCAGAAGAAACCACCGCATCCCCTGCCCTCGGATGCCCACCAGAATTAGGGCAGTATGCTTACCTGGGAGTTTCGCCGGCCCAATTTCCCAGGGATGTCCCCACCCCCACCCTGCCAGATGCCAGCCAGGCTCCACTACCCACCCCAGAAAGGTATTTGGTTTCCACATAAACCTAGTGGAGAGCCCTCCATGTGTGGAGCCTGCTCTTGAACTGCACCCAAGGCTGGGTTCTCAGCTTTCCACTTTGCTTTAGAAAACTGCACACCTGAATTCCTCGGCACACAGCAGCAAGGGAAATCCCTCCCCAGGAGCAGAAGTTCCATGAAAAATCCCCTCTACCCAACACCCCTGTGTTCACAGCATGTCTAGCTTTGGAAGAGACCCACCAGAATCCTTATGTAACGTTAATAGATGTTGGCACCCTGCAGAGCGGCTCCTGGAGACACTAGCCCAGATGTAGCCCATTTTCGAGGCAATGACAGCAGGCTGGGTCCTGCAGCTTCCTAGGGCCCGGCTCTTCCTGACTGTAGGGCCTCTCTGTTCCCCTCCCCTACCTGGCTGTGATCCTCTGCTTATCTCATCTTCCAGAGGAGCTGGACCTCCCTTTCTGCAGGCTCCCTCCCTCTGCTGAAATCAGTCTTAGGACCAAGCCGACAGCAGCGCCATTCCACCAGCACCTTCCCTGCCCCCTCTCCCCCTCACCCCTTCAGATCCCCTCTCCAACACCTATGGCCTTAAGAAACCCGGCCAATGAAGAGATCCAGAATCTCGTACAGTCATAGCCCCAGAAAACAAACACGGCAGGAGGCGCAGGCTCAGCTCTGCCAAGCCGACCAGGCCCAACACTCCCCCCCGGACCCCCCGGGAAGCCTGAACTCGGCGCAGGGGAGGGAATCTTCGGAGAGCGACTGCGGGTCGGCTGCCTCCAGCACAATCGGAGCAAACACCTGTTTCCAGGAAGCCAGGCGGCCGGGGGCGGGGTGGGGGGGGGCAAGAGGGGAGTCCCGGGGAAAGGCAGGGAGGACAGGGTGAAGGGGCAGCCGGGGACGCAGGTAAAGGATGCGTCACACTTTGCGCTTGGCAACCGGAGCCCGGGCGCAGCGGGCAGAGCCAGAGAAGGGCTGCCGGGGCTGGGAAGTTCCGAGAGGAGGGGTCGCGCCCGCGAGCAGTCCCGGAGGGGCCGGCGCAGGGGCAGGCACGGCGGGGAGGGAGGGAAGGAGGAGGGAAGGGAAGGGAGGCCGGGAGGCCGGGGGGGGGGGGGGGGCTCCATCACCTGCGCGCCCCGGCGGCGGCAGCCTCGCCGGCGCGCACCGGGGAACCTACCTGCCCACCGTCTGGTTGGCCAGCTGGCGCATGCGATTGAACTGCTTCTTCATCGTGGCCCCGCTGCCGCGCTGGCCCGGGAGCTGGGCGAGGACGGAGCAGCCCGGAGCCCGCCGCAGGTTACATGGCTCCCGCGCGGAGCCTCCCGGGCGGCGGCGGCGGCGGCACTGCGGAGCCTCCGGGAGCCGTCTGGCCCGCGCGCGCGGCTCCCTCCCCAGGGCACCGCCGCCTACTCCTCCGCCCGCCGCGGCGCCCGCTGCCGCATCCTCCTCACGCGCGCCGCCGCGCCTGCATGGTGACGCCCGCGGCCGCCCTCGGCGCCGGCCAGGTCCGCGCGGCCGCCCGCCCCCAGCCCCTCTCCGGCGCGGGGACCCGGGAGCCTCCGCAGGCTGCTGGCCGGCTGGCCGGGTGCTCCCCGCTGCGCCTGTGCGGCGGGCGCCGTGCATTCTGGGACTTGTAGTCCTGCGCCCCGCTGCCCACCTTTCCGCGTGCAAAGTTTGCAAGGACCGAGGTGCTCGGCGGGAGGGCGGGTGGGGAGGCATGCTTTGCACTGTAGCACTCCAGGGAGGGAAAGGTTTCGATGCTTTAACAGTAGCCAAGTGGAACCAAGACTACAACAGCAAAGGAGGAAAGTGAGCATCTGTCTTCCATTGTATTTTAAGTGAATGTGAGGCATGGCTGTTTTGAATTCACAGGAAGGAGATTTATGCAGGCGGGTACGTGGCTCATAAAATTGCATAAGGCCACCTGATACTTGTTGAGGTGCCCAGTTAAGCTTCGGGCCCAGGGCCTGACCGAGCAGAGCATGCATCCCAGAAGTTTCGTCCTTAATTTTTACCAAACACAAGAGGTAACCAGAGCCAAAATAGAAGAAGGGTGTAATAGTGTTACCTGGCTCAGTTGGTTAAGCGACTGCCTTCGGCTCAGGTCATGATCCTGGAGTCCCGGGATCGGGTCCCGCGTCGGGCTCCCTGCTCGGCAGGGAGTCTGCTTCTCCCTCTGACCCTCCCCGCTCTCATGTGCTCTCTCATTCTCTCTCTGTCAAATAAATAAATAAATAAAATCTTAAAAAAAAAAAGAATAGTGTTACCTACCGTGCCTATGGAACCAGACTGACTGGGGCAACTTTCTTGTATGACTTAGATTCCAGTCTCATAACTGTACCCATTTCCCTTGCACCTCCGGGGGACCAAGGGGCATCAGCTGTGGCAGGCCTGGAACAGTCTACACAGCAGTTTCCCATTGGCATCAGTTGGCTCCTTGAAAAGGGGTCCTGACCTTCTTTGTGCAGGCTCCAGCCGTAGGAAAAAGACAGGTGATTGCAATTAGGTTTTATCATCCCCCTGTCAAGTAGTCGGGTGGTAGGGGCTTTGGATCAGATAAGAGTTCGTAAATTGGACTTCTAAACACCAATTATATAACCTTTGGAAAAAATTACATAATCTCTGTAAGCCTTGGTTTTCCCATCTCTAATAGAGAAATAATATTGCCCGGTAGGTAGCAAAGATAGAGAACTATTTGCTAAATTACCACTAATTAAATAACATACATTTCTATGTAGTACATTATGTCATATTCGTTTACTACAAATATGATTATAGTTAGCATAATAGAGCAGAATGCCATTCCTACAACAGAATTACTAATCTGATAAATGAAAGAACTTTTTTGCAGTGGTGTATTTTGCATATGTTGATTATAGTTGCAAGATGTCCTAAATATGGTTCAAAGTATCTTGCTGGCCTGCTGAACAAAAGATGGTTTGAGGCAAGTCTTGGCTGAATGAACATGAGATCTTTAATTAATTGTGAATTTAGCCTCTGCTTATTAGGTCAGGCAGCTCCAGCCAATTAATAAGCGAAGGCATGATTTGCTTAGTTTTATACAAACTGACATTACGTCCACTTTGAGATATTTTTAACAACCAAGACACAGCATGGTATTTAAATGTATAAATAAGAGATAGTAAAAGTCACTGTATGACTTTTAGCAACACTATCTCTAATATCTAGAACTGCACTGGCCCATACAGTAGCCACCAATCGCAGGCGGCTATTGAAATTTAAATTAATTAAAATTAAATGAAATTAAAAATTTAATTCCTCAGTCATCCTAGCCACATCATAAGTGCCTAATAGCCACACGGGCTGTACTGGACAGTCTAATATAGAATATTCCTATCCTCTCAGAAAGTTCTACCGGTGGGGGGGAGGTGGTGCCTGGGTGGTTCAGTTGGTTAAGCATCTGCCTTTGGCTCAGTTAAGCATCTGCCTTTGGCTCAGATCATGATCCCACGGTCCTGGGATCAAGTCCCGCAATGGGCTCCCTGCTCAGTGGGGAGCCTGCTTCTCCCGCTCCTCCCCGCTCCTGTTCCCTCGTGCTCTCTCTGTCTCTCTCTCAAATAAATAAATAAAATCTTTAAAAAAAGAAAGCTCTATTGGACAACACTAGTACTAGGGAACTCTGTAAGACAATTCCAAAATCGTGTCAGTCTGTCTTCAATCCGGGGACATTTCAGTTCTAAAAGGGGACTTTCTACTTATCCACAAACACAGCCTACCCTGCTAGAGTGTTGTTGTTTTTTTTTAATTAACGGATGGCTTCTTTACATATTTCCTGTTCTCCTATGAGATTTTCCTCCATTTAGGAAGCAGCTCATGTTTTTTTCCTTCCTACCCAGGGACGGGATGACAGTGCAGAAAAAAGAGAAAGGGGTGTCAGGTCTACTCATCTGATCTTTCAAAGCAGGCTTCAGAAACACGTGTGCGAATAGACTTTTTAAAGAAAAGCGTCTTTGAGTTTCAGGAATACAGGCTTTGGAACTTTAATAGTCCATACCAAAAATGGTTGAGTCTGAAGAACACACCATCCTGCCTTTTCTAGATAAAGAATTCCCAGGCTGTGAGGTGTTGAAGATGATGATAGGGGAGTGGAAGGGGAGAGAGGGCGAGCGAGGAAAAGGAGATGACTCCTGCACAGATTTGGTTATGGTTCAAAATTTCACTGCCTGTACCTATGAAAAGGGATTATACTTCACCTTCCCGATGAGGTCAAGATCGATCATGCGATTCTCTTTGGACATAGAACATGCACAGGGTGATTGGTGCCGCTCCTGAGCAGATTGGTAGGAGTCATTTTGTGATCCTCCCCCCTCCTTTTTTCAGTCTGCCTTACGACCAGCAATGACCCCATTAAGGGCTGCCATGGATCAGAGTCACAACCATCCAGCGGGGATGAAAAAGAATACCTTTGTGGTTATAAGTCAGAGGTCTGGGGATTATTTGTTATAGCAGCATAATCAAGTCTGAGCTGACTACTACAGAGCATACCTCTAAGGAAGATCACTTGCTCCTGGCTCCTTCCCATGGTCAAAAAAAAAACAACCAAACTTCAGTCTGGTTCAGGGAGGCTGGAGGTAACTCTATCAGGAAGCTGTAGTACAGGACCTTTGCATCACTTCTTCCATGGGAAGGCTAGTAGTGGCAAAGCTCACAGAGACCCTGCACCTTTGAAGGCCCAGGGGCAGTAAGGATACCCATGTGGAGTGCCCAAAGTCCCTAACCCCAGTCCTCAGGTGACTCCAGAGTTCCCTGCACCAAGCCATGTGCAAGGGTTTGTATACCATGAGGGTATACAAAAGTACCTGAACGAGCTGGGTGTTTTTGCCGCTGGGATCGAAGTTGACAAGAAAGCAAGCCACGGCCAAGATGTGGAATACAGAAGCCCCGAATTGCCAGAAATTAAATAAGAAGAGACTTCAAATTAAGTGCATTTGAAGGAGGAGAAGGGGAGGAGTGGAGAAGGAGGAGGAAGAGGAAGATGGAAGAGGGAAAGGGGGAGGGAAGAGAAAGGGAAAGAAGAGAAGGAGAAAGAAGGAAGATTCTATTTCTTATATACTCGACTTTGATCTATGGAAGGATTTCACTTCCGGCTCCGTATTGCCCTTAAGTGCAGCCACATGACTTGCTTTGCCCGACCAGATATGGGCTTCTTACTTCCCTCAACAATGTGGTAGAACTATTTATCCGAGATGTGTTGCCTTTGAAATCCCATATGCCACTTAGGAGGCTCTGAATTAGAGTGGTTTTAGCATCTTCATTCTGAGTCCAAACATTCGGTCCAACGTGGGCATCAGCAGAGACGTGTGGTTATTTAAACATAATTTTAAATAAAGTTATATAAAATTAGAAATTCAGTTCCTCAACTACACTAGCCACTTTTCAAATACCCAAAGACCTTGTGTGGCTAGTGGCTACCATATCAGCAGTGTAAAATAGAACTTTCACAACATCGTCACAGTAAATTCTTTTGGACAGTGCTAGCCTATAGAACAGAATTCAAAATACAGGATCCAGCAGAACAGAGACAACTGAGCAGCAGGTGACAAAACTCAGTGTAATTATGGCCCGTTACTTTTTTTGATCTCTCCAGGCTACTCTCCTCACCTACTACATGGGAGGTTGTAGTATAGAATCTCAAGCCATAAATTTTGGGGGATCAATGAATTGACCAAACAATTTGCTCAATAAACTGCTTTTGCCTGGGTATGCCTAAGCCTTCCAGCCTTTAAGACATCCCAAATAATATTCAGTGCTATGCTATAAATAATCCTTTTTAGATTCCAATCACCTTTATACCTACAGGTATAAAATCTACACCATTGAGCCATATCTGGTAAGTCTAAAGATTCTTTTAAACAAGGTGATAGATGTTGCCACCTTCGGGCAGTATCAGTTCCAATGTTTCAGCTTTCTTGGATCTGTACCCTTGCCAGAGCCTTATCATGGGCAGAGCGTATTTCCCTACCTAGTAACTTTGGACCTGTGTGACTGAGTTGGCCAATGGCACATGGGTGGAAGTGACATATGTCAATTCCAGCCTGTGCATCATGAGGCTTTGTACATTTTCCCTTTGTCCTCTTCACCTTTTCCACCAACATTAAGAAGCACTTCACCTAGGTGCCCATTGTCTCTCACCTTGGGCTATTTAACAAACACTTGTGGGGCAGACCACTGCTGAAATGAAAGAAGTAATTGATGAATTCACTTTAGGACAGGTTATTTTTAAAAGATAGGTAAAGCTAATAGGTCTAAAGAAAGGGAAAAAGAAGCAAGATGGAGACACATCACCTTAGGAACGAGAAAAAGGATTTAATTACAGGTGCAAAAAAATTATGAGAGAATGTGCAATTTTATGTTTACTTATTTTAAAATAAGCTCTGTTTTCACTCCGGAAATATAAATTGCTACAGATGTTTCAAAAGTGGGCGGCAAGAATGAGTAGACCAAGAACACTAAAGAAATTGGAAACATTGTCACAGAATAACACCCTCCAAAGTAATCAGGCCCAGATAGTTTTATGGGGGAGCTGTTTAAAAGATTCAAGGAACAGATTAATTCCTCTGCTATT